GAAGAAAATAATAAAATGCCAGTTGCTGCGATATATTCGAGCCCCCTAAGCAGAACAAAAGAATCAGCAGAGATGTGAGGTGTACATACACCTGAAGGTGTTGCTGCTGCCACCGTATAGTATACAAAACTGTATAAGAAAAAGTGTATATATATAGTTTTAATTGCGTAATAATAGTAATATATTATTAAATTATATTTATTTTTATTTTATTTATTTATTTTTATGCTGCAGTATACGAGAAGCAGCATGCATAGAGGCCGAGGTCACCATAGATAAGAGGATTCAGGAGTGGAACGCAGGGGTGTTGCAGGGTAAGGAAAGCAGTTGAGTTTGTGTTTTTTTTCTGCGTATAAATATTAAAATTAATATTAATTATTTTATTTTTATTTATAATAATTATTTTATTTATTTTTATAATATATATATTCATTTATTTTCACTTTATTTTGCGTTTTTTTACACACGCAGGTCACCTCCTCGATGATCTACCGAAACTCTTTCCTGCAGAATGGAATGCATGGAACAAGAGTAGGTGCGGCTCTTTCTTCTTCTCTCATCACACCCACCTACTCTTCAGGTGTATGTACAGCTTCAGGTGTATGTACACCTGAAGGTGTAAGGTGTATGTACAGCTTGAGGTGTATGTACAGCTTGAGGTGTATGCACAGCTTGAGGTGTATGTACAGCTTGAGGTGTATGTACAGCTTGAGGTGTATGTACACCTGAAGGTGTATGTACAACTTGAGGTGTATTTACATCTAAAGGTGTATTTACATCTTCGGGTGTATGTACAGCTTGAGGTGTATATACACCTTCAGGTGTATGTACACATCATCAGGTGTATGTAAACCTTCAGGTGTATGTACACCTTCAGGTGTATGTACAGCAGAATATTTGTTTGGGATAGTTTAATACTGCTGTGGATATTTTTTTGTTTAGGGACCCGAAATTTGTGTTCCCTGAAGGAGAGAGTTTTCAGGAGCGGTGAGGCCGAGTTTTTATATAATATTATTTGTTGTATTATCTATTTATTTAATTTTGTTTTATTTTTTATTTTTATTTTATTCTTTATTATTATATTAGGATTTTATTATGTTTGTTTATAATACACAGATAATAATCTCTGCTGTATCTCCATACTTACACTCATGTGTAATCAACTCTGTTCATAGATATATATATATATATATATATATATATATATATATATATATATATATATATATATATATATATA